AATACTACAACCAATGTTGGTCACCATACTACAAAAAAGATGTTGAGACCTTGAAAAAAGTTCAGAAAATAGCAACTAAAATGATCGAAGGCCTGGACACTAAAACATATGAAGAACGGCTGCGGGACTTGATTTGGCTAGTCTAAAGAAAAGAAGAAACAGGGGCGGCATGATAACAGTATTCCAATATTTGAGGGGCTGCCACAAAGAAGAGGGTGTCAAACTATTCTCCAAAGCACCAGAGGGCAAGACAAGAAACAATGGTTGGAAACTGACCAAAGAGAGAAGCACCTGGAATTAAGGAGAAACTTCCTAACTGAGGACAGTTAACCAGTGGAATAGCTTGCCTTTAGAAATCGTGGGCACTCCATCACTGGAGGTTTTTAAGAAGAGACTAGACAGTCACTTGTCTGAAATGGTATAGGTCAGTGATGGGAACCTTTTAGAGACCGAGTGCCCAAAACCCACCCCCACTCCGCCTCCCACCCTGCCTGCTCTGCCCCTGCCCGCCCCTGCTCTGCCCGCCCACAGGGCCATGCACTGCCTCAATGGCCCGCCGTAGCAGATCCACCCAGGCAGCCCTGCAGTGCCATGGCAGCCATGCTCTCCGCCCACACCCTGCAGCAGCATCTGCACGCTATGGAGCGTGAGGGCGGAGTCTTGTCCCTGCTGCCCGGCTATGTCCTTGGCTGTGCTGCTCCGTGCAGGCTGCGCCTGGGGGCGACTCTCCTCCAGGGGGGCTGCTGGAGAGGAGGGCACCACAGGGGGAGGCAGGGCTGGGGTGATGGAGTGCGTGCCCACAGAGAGGGCTCCGAGTGCCGCTTCTGGCACGCGTGCCACAGGTTCGCTGCCACTGGTATAGGTTCTCCTGCTGGAGCAGGGGGCTGGACTAGAAGACCTCCAAGGTCCCTTCCAGCTCTATTCTATTCTAATTATCAAGGAATGGGACCAGAGAAAGCAATGAAAGATGTTGGCATGCTAAAGGGAAAATAATTTTTCATAAATCCATAAATATTTCAATTGCTTTAAATGTCCATTTTTCATGATGACAGATTATCTATCATTATTTCAGGCCGGCATGGAAACTTAAAACTGTGGAGATCTCTACTCATCCCACATGATTCATTGCAAGGATTTCCCTTCACAGGCCTGGGAACAATAAACACTTCAAAGATGAGAGCTTTTTTCCAACTCTATAAAAGTTTTAAAAATATACTTCATGTGATGACAGTGAAGGGGATTTAAAGCTTGATTACACATTTTCAAGGCTGCTGCTTCTACTGAGCAGAGTAGAGCAAATTCAAGAATCTGGATCTGCTCAGTCATACTACCTGCATCTCCTTTGCTGGGGGAGAACATCTCTCAAGGCCTTTGGCCCAATCATTCCTTGGAGACTGGGAAAGAGAAAAGCTCTTAGAAGAGCTAATTGTCTCCTCTTTAACACTGCAGCATCTCTTAAAGCATTTGCCTCTTGCTTTAAAATACCATATATTGATGTCAATGAAGGTACTTAAAGCTATGATTGGTATATGGTGGAGGCTTTGAATCAGGACAACCCCAATTTTCCTTCTAAAGGTAGGCTTTAAAATCACTTCCACAGATGTTGGTGACAGGTATTTTCAGGAGACTATGTGAATATCTGTGTGTTGTCTAGACAAGAACATCAAGGGCTACATATCTGTCCACCCAGTGATGTTATGTGGCTACTAACACATTAATCCAGAGCCAATCTGGTCTTTGAAACAAAATGAGTTTCCTACATATCCTAAAAAGAATGCATCCTGAAAACAATAGCGTGATAAATAGTTCTTACATATTTAAATAAAATTTAAATTAAAAAACTTCCAATTATGAACAAAAACTAGACTGCATTCTTTCAATGCTCTTTTGCCCTGCTTTTTAATTTCAATTTTAATGATACTCTGTCTAGTATAGCAGCAAGAAAGAGGTGTGTTGACACTTTAAACTTGCTTCTTCTAAAATGAGTGTGAAAATTACTGGACTTGTACGTTGAGCTAAACTACTATGTGACTTATTTAAATCTGGTGAAAAATGTTGTATAGTTCAGGGACTATGAAGTGCTATGGCTCACTATGAGATGTCCTCCCAGGCAAAATGTTTTGTTTTACAAACCAATATGAATACAAATATGGTCAGAGGAGGTTCATGTAAGTGGAGAAGTTTATTTGTAAATTAACAAGTCTGTTTTAATTTTCATGTGAAAATGCAAACTTGACATTCCTAAGAAAAAAGAATCCAGAAATACATGTATGAATAGACTTTAATGCCATGAATTACTATTTGTATTTTTATCTTGCCTTTTTTTATATATTTAGTCAACATTCCTAGCACTCCACATTTGTCTTAAAAGCATCAAAGTGCCCATAAAATGAAGCAAATGTCTACAATCTAGTTACGGTGAAACACAGTCATATTTCTTGGAAACAATTGTCATTTTGCTGCCCTTTTAAATGAATTATGACAAGTTTCAAAAAATGCTTAGAAAGTTTGTGGCTGTCACCCATTATGTCCCACATTGCAAAGAGAAGGATATGCTGTGAAAGCAGAATGTTTGGCTACTGGCTCAGAAATGCTTCTTGAATTATACAGATATTTCTACAGTGTTTTGCATGAACATCATTTCTGAGAATTTACACAGCCACAAGCTGCCTATTTTTAGTGGGCTGTGCAGGGTCAATGTCCACTATGAAAAGTCACACTGTAAAGCCTTACAAGGAAGAGAAATGTGGCCTTCATTAAGGGAAAATTAAATCAATACGATTTTCATTTAGCTGCCTCACACTGGCAATAAAGTGTATCACAACTGCAACAGCTCTCTGAAAGGAAGATTTAAGCAAGTTACTGAACATTAATCATTGCTTATAAATGTTGGAGCCTTCCACATGCCACTAGGACTCAGGAAATATTTATATTCGTCAACAAACACTGAAAAGATATACAGTATTTCAAGCGTCATCCATACGTACAATATCAATCTACCTACCAACACCATGGTAGAATATATTTAAGAAACAGCTGTGATTTGCTCAATGAGCCATATGATGTGCAAAAATGTATATATTTACTGCTTCCCCCACTCCTCCCAGCCTTTATTCTGCCTTTCTCAAGGACTAAAAATGTAAGAGTCAAAAAAGACATTAATACCTAGGGTTGAAGCAGAATTTGCTACCATGAAAACCCTCACCTACTCAGTCACAATAAAAAAATACATACCTAAAGAATAATCTTCTCTACCAATGGTTTACTGAAACTATCATTAATCACAAGGGGCATGTTGTGATGCCTAAAAAGCCTGAAAAGGTTATTGCCGCTGTCCACTTGGTTTGAAACTGAATGGTGCAAGTTTGATCAAAGATTCACCCAAGCAAGGAATTACAGGCAATCCTTGATTTACAACCATTCATTTAGTGACCATTCAAAGTTACAACGGCACTTTGTAACTTATGGCCATTTTTCAGAGTTACAACCTTTACAGCATCCCCATAATCATGTGGTCAAAATTCAGATGCTTGGCAACTAACTCATATTTATGACGGGTGCAGTGTCCCAGAGTTATGTGATCACTTTTTGGAACCTTCTGACAAGCGAATCAATGGGGAAGCCAGATTCACTTAACAAGTAGGTTTGCTAGTTTATCAAATGCAGTGATTCACTTATCAACTGAGGCAAGAAAGGTCATAAAATGGGGCAAAACTCACTTAACAAATGTCTCACTTAACAACATAAATGTTGGGTTCAGTTGTGGTCAGAAGTCCAGGACTACCTGTACTCCCAGCTGGGCAATCAGCTGAGGTGGGGGGGGCGAGAGACAGCGGGAAGGGCAATCTATACTTCCATACATTCTTGGACTGCAACTTCCATCCTCGTGGGCTACGCTGCAGTCATCACCAACATCACGCGGACCACCAAAAGTCACAACCTACCTACACCGGTAGGCTCGTGAAAAAGCACCTTTGGGGGGCTACGCTACCTCGCTTTCTACAGCAACTCGCGTGCAGCCCCTCCCAACTCTTCCTCCTCCTCCTCCTCCTGGACCTTGGGGTCTCTCCCTTCCCCGCCCCTTCGGAGGGGAGGGGGCGTGACTTCAATCCCACTTCCTCGTCGAAAGGGGAGGTGAAGAGTTGGGTTGGTGCAGTGCGCCTGCGCACCGGGCGCGACACCCCAACCGACAGTCGGCAGCTGGCGGTTCCGCCATAAAGAAAGTGGCTGGCGAGCGGAGAAGCGCCGTCGCTTTGAGAGGAGAGGAGAGGCCGGCGGTTCCTTGGTGGGTGGGGCCGCGTGCGCTCTAACCTGCCTGTAGCTTGGGGGGCGCGAGGACGAACGAGGGCCGTCCGGAGCGGTCGGCTAAAGCTTCATGGAGCTCCCGCTCCCTCGGTTGCGGACGCTCGCCTGCGCTTGGGAAAGGTCTGCGGAGGCTACGTGCGTAGAAGGGCTCCGCCTCGGGACCCAGCCAGAAGTCTAAGGTTGGCCGCCGGCTGCGAAGCCTCCGGGGCCATCGAGCGAGCGACGTTCAACGGCCTCCCGCACTGATTGCAGCAACCCCAGCCCCAGCAGCCTAGAGGTGGCGGCGGCGGCGAAGAGGAAGGCTTCGAGCAGAACGGCGTCGCTAAATCCTGGTGGCTCTCGTCCTTCCCTCCGTGTTTTTCTCCTGTTTGTCTCTCCCGCCGCCCGTTTTCCTCTTCGCCTTTCCCAGAAAAACAAAGCTCGGTCCGAGGAGCTGTTGCCGCCAGCTGCGCTTCTTTGCCCCAGGCTTGAGGGGCTGCGAGTCTGGGGAAGCCCCGAGAGAGGCACCCCGGCAGGCCGGAGGGGAGCTCCTTTGGACCATCCAAAGGAAAGGACTGCTCGGCCTGGGCTCCAAACGGTGGGAATACGAATATTTCTCCCGTGAATAAACTGGCCATAGCCCTAACCTACAATATGCCGTACCGCTTAGATTAAAACATCTCCGGGCATATTGGATGTGATTTATTCCCCCCCCCCCTTTTTTTTTTAACCTGGCAATTTTTTGCTTCACTCTCCCACCATTTTATGTCTTTTCAGCAGTATTGAAGTGGGGGACTGGATGGAGAGTGATATGTGAGATTACTTTTTTTGCTTCTTTTAATCGTAGAGCAGATTAATAGGAATATGTGCCCATAATAAACACGATCATCTCATTGAGAAGAATTTTTAACGATAAAATAGCAATTTTTAAGAGCTGAAAAATGATTCTGAAGTGGATTTTGCCTTACTGGAGCTACTTATCCTCTGTGCCCATTTTGGTCCTGTTTAATTGTTACCCTCTCCAAGCTAGTGCAGATAATTCCAATCTAATATATTATACAGCTCTCGTGAATGTCACTGTGTTGAATCCTGATCGTTCAACATCTGCTTCAATAACACTTGAGCGTGCACGCTATGGACAAACTTCTCCCAAAATAAGTGTCAAAGGCCTACTTTTGGCACCTTTGCCAATCAATGGAGGTAAGGTTTTTTTGTATATATATATAGCTTTTCCTTCTTTTCATGTTACTATGTGTTGCAGTTTGGGGCAATTGAGCTTGATTAAAAGTATGTGCAGAAGTCTCTTTTCATTCCAGAATCCAAGAGTTCAGGAAGCATTTTTACATATCCTTTTTAAAGTAATCTACTATAACAAAAATGTATTTTGAAGCTGACTAAGGTAAATTAAGATGACACCTAGGTGTACCTCTATAAAACAGTAGAAATGCACATATAAAACCACATTTATAGATTATATGTTGTAGGTTTTAATGCTGTAAGTCACCAGAGTCACCTGTGTGTGAATTTACAGTAGTGGCCATATAAATGTGTTTAACAAATGGAATCGTGTATCATAATCCTAGAATATAGCCGTGTTGGTATCATGAAAACATGAATCATGGAAATTATGATTCTTGAGAGCCAGTTTGGTGTAATGGTTAAGGTACTGGCCTAGAAATCAGGAGACGGTGAGTTCTAGTCTCATCCTAGGCATGAAAGGTGGTTGGGTGACTTTGGACCAGTCACTCTCTCAGTCCAACCTACTTCACAGTGTTACTGTGGGGAAAATAGGAGGAAGGAGTATTAGGTATGTTTGTTGCCTTGATTTACTTATAAAGTAATAAAGGGCAGGATAAAAGTCATAAATAATGAAGGCTTACAATGGTGCATTTTACTGATAATGTTATCAACCAGAGGAATAAGTAATAGCTTCCCATTAAATTGCTTCTTAGAAGAATCTTGATTTGTTTTCATAGAAAGTATGGAATGAATTTTAGTGAGTATTCAAGGTCATTGAAGAACATTTTTAGGTAAGCTTCTTTTTCAAAAATATAACCATAGAATCAAATTGGCTGTTGAAAAAAGTTGAATAGCTGCTGACTGTCATGATTTTGGAGAATATAGCATTAAAATGTATGTGGGGATGAGTGGTGTGCGTAGAACCTTTCATCAGCAGTTGATCTAAATAAAATACCAACTGTATTGCTATTTTTGAAGGTAAGAAATTGGGAGACCTTGTTTGAAAAGAACAGTGAGATATAAATCAAATACGTAAAAATAATTATGCTGTTTTCAGTAATACAAACTTTGTATAGTATTCAACACGTCCATATTTTTCTTGACTGCCTCTAGAAACAGTAATGATTAAATTACTCCACTTTCAATTATCCTGTAAAAATGCTTATGAATCCTCATACACAAGAAAAAAGTATAAGTTGACATTTACTTAGAAGCTGTTTATTCTTCTAATATCAGCTGAAGGAAAATGAGAGACCAAAGTAAAAATGTATTGTGGAATCAAATATGGTTTGAAAGTGTAAGAAAGTATTTGGTAATTTTTTTCCTTGAAAGATGAGTAAGTGCCATGAAGTTCTATCTTAAGTTGTTTCAGAGCTAATTTGGAAAATAAGTTTATATTTACATTTATTTATTTGTTTCCTGTCTTTATTATTTTTACAAATAATTCAAAATGATGAACATATCCAATATACCTTTGTCCTCATATTTTCCCCACAATACTACCATGTGAAGTGAGTTGGCTGAAAGAGAATGACTGACCCAAGGTCACCCAGATGGTTTTCATGGCTACGGCAAAACTAGAACTCATGAACTTTCATTTTCTAGCCTGGTGCCTCAATCACTAGTCCAAACTGGCTTATGTTTCTAGCCTGGTGATTTTATTTACACACGCACATACACATACACAAATATACATACATACATATATACATACATACATATTTTATATAGTGGCAAAATCTTAATTGCCCTGAACTTCAGTTTAATTTCCTGGTTTTGTTTCAATATTATATTACTTTTTGTATTTTAAATCGGCTGGAAATACTCATTTGGGGCACTTTTGGATTCAGTAGTCAAAGTGTCTTAAAATACTATATCATATAAATCAATTATTGCTTCATAAAAGAGCTGTACACAATAATGCTTTTTCTGTTAATTGCAAAGAATTAAAAGTAAAGTTTTCAGGTGTCTAAACAATGGGGGGAAAGTTCTGATATGTCGTGCGACGTCACGTGACATTGCGAGTTTGACATGTCTGGTCTAAACTGTAATGGCTAGAGAATGTTTTGAAGTGCTATAGCATTACAAAAATGCTGTTCTGTGTTCTTAAATTTCATTTGCCATGATTTTCAAAAGATTTCTCTTATATGCTAAATCTAGATAATTTGGAATATGATAATTACCAGAAGCATCAAATTTGGGGGGGGGGAGGAAAAGAGAATTTTCAATTAATGGAGTTGTGGCAAAATCAGTAGTCTTTCTCCAATCCAGTTTAACAGGAAAGAGAACTGGAACCAGTGCAGTCTCTTCTGAAATAGGTCATGATGGCAAAGTCTTTACACACTCTTGTGATACTCACTGCACATAAGCAAACATCCCCTTGTAGAAAGCTTCCCTCTTACACCCAGACCTGAGACCCTACAAAGAGTGAAAAAAGGACTTGAGGAGCTGTCATAGAGAAGAGAGGATTGACCTGTTCTTCAAAGCACTAGAGGGCAGGACAAGAAGTAAAAGTGTGGGCACTTGTTAAAGAGAGATCCAACCTTAAAGGAGAAATTTCTGACAATGAGAACAATTAAAGAAATAGCTTGCCTCCCAGAGTTGTGACTGCTCTATCACTGGAGGTTTTAAAAAATAGATTTAGCACACAGAACAACCATTTTACCGGAATGGTGTAAGGCAGACATGTCAAACACAAGGCCCGGGGGCCGGATGCAGCCCGCAAAGTGGTTTCATGTGGCCCGCAAAACCATCCTGGAAACAGTGAGGGAATGGCCCCCGCTGCCTTGGCCCAGGCCGGCCGGGAGCCAATGTACAATTTTGTGGTGGCCATCTATGCTGAAATGCATTCAGTCTTAGCTCCACAAGGCCGTCTGGAACCAGCCCCTGCTGCATCGGCCCCACCCCCTGGGGCATGCTGAGGAGGTGTCACCCTTTGTGAGGAATGAAGAAATGGACCATGCCTTGGCACTTGCCCTGGTCCCACCCCCTTCTGCCAGAGACCCTCAGATCTGTCCCACTCCTGCCCAGGCCCCGACAGGCACCCTTGACGCAAACGATGTAGAGCTGGTCATGCCCACCCAGTAGGACACACCCACCCAGTAGGCCTCACCCACCCTGGCCATACACCCCCGCCCCCCCGGGGGCAACCGCAATGCTGATGCGGCCCTCAATGAAATTGAGTTTGACACCCCTGGTATAAGGTCTCTTGCCTTGAGCAGGGGATTGGACTAGAAGACCTCTGAGGTCCCTTCCAGCCCTATGATTCTATGTTCTGTGTGCTAAATCTGCTCTAGAAAATCTTTCAAGCCTCCAGAAAAGAGTTGGGGGCATGGGAAGACTCTGGAATGAGGGGAGGCAAATGGACTTTTGCTGCTGATATATTTTCTACTGTAGAATGGATAGCATCCTTAGTTGTTTAACATCATAGTATGCCATAAAGTGCCTTGAGATTTTGGCAGGATAATGTGCTAATGGGGCCTGTGAATAAGTGAGAATTTCTTCTAGGGCAGTAAACTGTAATTTGAAACTATGGCTTGTTGGCTTCATGTGATGAATTAATGTTTTGTTTGTGGGTTCCTCAATTATTTCTGCTTTGTTTTTGTTCTTTGTCCAAGTCTCTTGACAGTTCCATAAAGGCATAAAGTGAATGGGTTTAAAAATGGCAAATGCAATTTAATATAAGCACATGCCAAGTGATGCACATTGGCATAGGAAGCTAGAGTTCCATATACATTAATGGGAATTGTGCTGGTAATGACTGATCAGTCTGACTGATCAGGACTGATCATAGAGTCACAATGGGAAACTTAGTGAAAATGTCAATCCAATGTACAGTTGGTATTTTAAAAAGATAAATCTCATGCTTGGAATTAAAATAAGTAAAGTGAACATAAAGCCACCAATATAGTAATGTCCTTATAAATCTCTAATGAGTCATATTAAGTCATACATGGTATGAAAAAATGTAGCAAATGATATTTTGTCCCTCTCAAACTTAGAATTTAACTCATCTATTTAAATGTAGGGACAGACAAATCTAAAATTCTTTACAAAGGTAAATGTTTGACTGCATTGTCAAATAATTGAGGATTTAAAAGAGAACAGGATTATTTCATAGAGGTCTAGACTCTAGAGTAACCTCTCTAAGTGACTCATTGTCAGTAATAAACTCTAGTGTTTAGTAAATTAATAGTTAAAGCAAACTATAGCTCAGCATGATATATAATCTAATAAAGAATCTTCTTATGGCTGTTATTTTTCCATGGGAAGAAATGTAATATATATTAATACTTTAAAAATTAGTAATAGCCTAATTCCATTGATAATTATACAATATTTAGAAAACTTCTCAGCTTGGAGGGAATTGGGACAGTAAGCACTTTCCTATCATAGTAAGTTGCTCGATATTTTTAGTTTAGTTTAGTTCATATATATTTAGGAAACCATGATATAATATGATTTTTTTTATCACACCTCAAAACTTATTTAGAAAATTTATATCTTAGACCAGGGGTCTTCAAACTTGGTCCTTTTATGACTTGTGGACAGCGTGCGTGGCTGAAGAATTCTGGGGGTTGAAGTCACAAGTCATAAAAGGGCCAAGTTTGAAGACCCCTGTCTTAGATGTAAGCATAAGGCTTTATGTAAATTGTGCTGGAAATAATTGCATGTATATTGAGATCAAGCAAAGAGTATGCTGGTAAAGAAATCAGTTCTTTCTATGTCTTATCAGTGGTTTCAGCAATTTTCCTCTTTATATCATTTCACAATTTATCTTCAATGTTTCAATTTTATGCAGTTTTTCAATATTTTCACTATTATGATATTTAGATGTCAATGGTAGCAATGCCATGTTCTTAAATAGAATCCTTGAGTATTCATCTAGATTATTTGTAACAGACACTCTGCAAATTAACTTTTTTTACACATTGTACTTTAAAAATTATGATGCAGTTGAA